TGGCTCATGGACTATTATGAGAAATAGCTCAAATATTACCTTTATCAGGGTCATGTGCCTCTTAAAACAACGTATATTATTTTGTTATTTTAATTTGGCATTGTCTGGCAAAACGTACAGTCGTGCAATGCCAGACATCCTGAGCGACCCGTCGCAGTCGCCTGTGCAATTCCGCGGCCACGTGGTTACACGAGAAAGTTTTCTGCGAGCCAGGCGATGCGATTAGCCTCCAATGGGACGACGCACCACTTTGGAGACACGCGACACGAAACGCGCACCACCCCCTGCCTACGAACGTGTCGCTCTTGTGCGACACAGACGCAACAATGAAAGGGATTGTGTTTATTTCTCGTGACCGTGTAACATGCTTCTTCTACACGTTACACGCGGTGCTGTTATTGGTTGTCCGGGCGTCATGGACTCAGGGTCATTTGGGGCCGTCCATAAATGACGTCACGCACCTAGAGGGAGGGGGGGGGTCAGACATTTGTGACGATGTGTGACGATGGGGGGGGGGGGGGTTGAGAAATGTGACGTCACATCAAAATGCGCAACTTTAAAATAAATATAGACAACACGTTCTACTTAATTCAATATACTTTTTAATAAATGTTTTCTCCTTAAACATCAGAGTGCAGCGCCACATTAAATACGCACTACAATGACAATGGTTTAAAGCGATTTGAAGCATTTTTTCATTTTTTGGGGGGGAGGGGGGCAGAGCTTTGTGACGTCATATTTGAGGGGGGGTCTGACTTTTTGTGACGCCGTGTGACGAAGGGAGGGGGTGGGGTCAAAAATCGTCAAAAATCGCGTGACGTCATTTATGGACGGCCCCTTTGCTACCCGCTGTGACAATATTCCCATTGACGTGTGTTGCGTTGAGCTAGTTTTCAATGCACGTAACCTAACTAACTGCATATGCTCTACATATAATCGTAATGAAATCGAGCCCTTTTGACAATCCACTTCTGGATGACGGCATCGACACACAATGTTGGTCATGGGGGGGGGGGGGGGTTGTTCAATCATACTTCACCACGCCGGTCAGTGCGAGTTGGCGAAGGCGGGGGATGATCACTCGCCACTGATGTTAGCCGTGGCCGGATTAAGCTTTGCTAGGTACGTAGTGCAATGAGTGAACCCACTGCACCAGCTCACACCCGCTAATCTTTCTACGCCGACACAAACAAAACAAATTTTACTGGTAGGAACCTCCTGGTTACACCAGCCCACAGGGGATTATTGTGTCCGTCCGTCGAGAAGGGAGGGGTTAGGGTGGGGAGGGAGGGGCAGGGTGGGGAGGGGAGGGGCTGGGTGGGGAGGGGAGGGAGGGTGGGGCTGGGTGGGGAGGGTGGGGCTGGGTGGGGAGGGGCTGGGTGGCCATATTTGCGGAATACACCACGCCGCCGTTGACCCTGGCCATTGACCGAGCAACCCGACGTTCCTACCAGCTCCCTCCGCAGGAATGTGTTACCGCGATAGGCTGTCGGAGAGAGTGTTGTTTGTGAGCACCTCCTGGGGCCAGCATGGCACGTGAGCGCCACTCTGCTACGTACACACACACAAGACAAAGATCCCCGTATAGCCTTCACAGACTGTTGGGGCAAGTGCTGTTAGCGAGCACCTATGAAGGCCGGCACGGCACACGAGGGGGGTGGGTGGCCAACACCACGTCAGGCCGCCTTTGTCTCCCTCGTGGCGATGTTTACACATCGCACCAGGTACTCGCTTGAGGCTGAGTCGACCTTAGGGGAGGCCTGCACACAAGCGCAGACGTGCAGAGTCGGTTAAGGTCATCACACCGATCGCACAACGAAAATGGGCATGCGGCTGTTTTATAGCAACGGTGACATTCGTAGCATTGACAAAGCACCAAAGCCGAGGTCCAATCGGTTAAATGCCCCCCGGGCCTCCACTCAGCACAAACGATGTATGTCCGTGCTGATTGGGCTATTGCGTCAAGTTGTATCGAGTAGGGCCATCTATGGCGTCATTCAATTAAATCGCAAAATTGTGGGAGCACGCTATTGATCGACGCGTTTAAACAACGTGATGAATACTACGCACCCCGTGCGGTCCCGAGAGAGTGTAGCCGGAGAGAGAGCGGCACGACGCAATTCCGTGAAAACGAATCGGGTCGTCGTGCTGATTCTCTGTCGCCCGAGTTGAGCTCGCCACCCAGTCTCGATCAGTGACGAGCGGTGAGGTCAATGGCTGGGGAGGCACTGGCTCGTGTCAGAGCCAGATTCACACACGGAGGGGGGCGTGGCCTCGCTGAGGGGGCGTGCCAGACACGCCTCCCTCCGTGAAGACACGCCCCCCCCCCTCAGTGAGGCAGATGTGATAGCTGCCTCCCCTGGTGCTTTTTCATTGCAGTTTCATGACGAGACCAGCGAGCCGAAATATCTTTATACACATCCGTGAAATAAGTTACCTGGAGTATTGAAGGCGAGGAGATGAAATGAAAGGGTCTACAAACATTACATTGGTGACATACTGAGATAGTAACAGGCACGCACTTATTGCCCGCACTCCATCCAGTTACTGAGGGGTTGCGCAATCAGAGGGGAGGCTGAGCTCGTCGCTGCCTCACCTTTCGTCTCTCCCTGTATTTGCAGCGGAGCTCCGCAAATTTGGTGATTTTGACTGTACAAATTATTGGAATCATACAGAAATAACATTTATAACACGGATCAATGGAACAATCTTAATTTTTATATTATTAATTTTTTTTACTTTTCGTAACAGCTATTTTCATTGGAGGCTGTGAGGCTGTGCCTCCCCTGCCTCCCCTGCCTCCCCTGACCACACGTCCCTGGTCTCGATGTTATGGGGATCTTGAGCGCTGTGACTACCAACGTCGCTGAACTGTCGCAGGTGTTACCTGGCCCAGTTTGGCTGTGTGTGAGGGTTTGTGTGAGATGTGAGGTGTGCTGTGTGTGAGGGTTTGTGTGAGGTGTGCTGTGTGTGAGGGTTTGTGTGAGGTGTGTGAGGGTTTGTGTGAGGTGTGAGGTGTGTGAGGGTTTGTGTGAGATGTGAGGTGTGAGGTGTGCTGTGTGTGAGGGTACTTGAGGTGTGCTGTTAATTGTGCGTGCCTGACTGAATTGGGTGAACTCCCCCTGTTAAAATGAAGCCACCATGATGACGATGTAGCACTGACCTGCTCTCTGTTTTAAAATATGTGTATTAAAGGCGACGATCACTGTTGTGCTATAAAGGACATGTATGTACGTAGAGAACCGTGAACCTAAATAATAATTTGCCGCTTCAGATAATCAATTATATTATTTTAAAAGAATAAAAATCATTCTCAAAAAGATTTGTTTTTGTTACACAATTCCAAATTTAGAAAGGACCTCGCATTGTTTTGCTACCGTTACATTTAAGTACAATATCACAATTTGTCCAAATATTTATACACTAAAAACAGCCGATCATTGTTGGTTCGAAGGCCTTGTCCCTGAAGGTTCAGAAACCGATTACTCATTCCGCGAAGCCATTAAATAACCGACGCAAGCACGGACTATTTGACGCCAAGGGCACGATATCTATCAGCCACTGTTCCGACACCCACAGGTGGCAAGATGTTAAACTACCTCGCCTGGTGTATCGGAGGTCGTGAGTTCGATCGCGGCCCTGACGGCTAAATGTTTGGAGTTTTTTGCACGTTCTCCACGTGATCGCGTGGATTTTTCTCCGGGTCCTCCGGGTTTTCCCTCCACGTTTTAGAAACATGCGTTTAAAGTTTAACACGTAGGCTTTCGCGACCAATTTTATTCATAATCAACGTTTTTGGGTTTAGATCGCGTTATTTATAAATGTGTCGTAACCCTCCACCACCCGACACGGCCAATCAGTAAAAATGTGTCACGTTGACAAAGACAAATAGTTCACTGCTTTAGCCCACCGGTGTGTGGCTTCAACACACCGGTGGGCTAAAGCAGTGAACTATTTGTCTTTGTCAACGTGACACATTTTTACTGATTGGCCGTGTCGGGTGGTGGAGGGTTACGACACATTTATAAATAACGCGATCTAAACCCAAAAACGTTGATTATGAATGCGTTTAAAGTATTTGGCTGCTATAAATGTCCACATGGTGAGCCACTTTGTTGACCTATCATTTGTGGCCAGGTTGCTTCTGAAAAGAACTAAATAGTTCAGTCGGCCTTAACAGGTAAAATCTAAAAATAGTTAAGTTTACACTATGAGACCTCCTTTACCAGTGGCAAAATATAGTAGTAGGTTTTTACCCTTTAAACTGGTACAAAACTGACACCTTTATACAAGGCATGATGTTTGCAATAACCACAACACAAGTAGTCAAAATGCAAACAAAAAGAAACAACTCTGATAACGATAGTGTAAATGCTTACCCCGAGCTCTCAATACTCTGATAGTGCACTGTTTTTGAGTTGTACGCCTTTTGGTGTCATCTGGTCCAACACCAATGGAGACTAGGCTCTAAGGAAAGCTGTCTCGGGTGTGGACCAATCAACTTCAGGGACAGTGCATATTATTATCATTATCAGAGTTGTTTCTTTTTGTTTGAATTTTCACTACTTGTGTTGTGGTTATTGCAAACATGATGCCTTGTATAAAGGTGTCAGTTTTGTACCAGTTTAAAGGGTAAAAACCTACTACTATACTTAAGCTTAGTAATAGTTTACAGGTGGAGCATACCGACAGAGCGCGTGCCACCACCGCTGCCAAATCGGCCCATGACCTTGCACATTCACTCTGCACTGCACCAGCAACAACAGGCAGCCTTTCATTGTCGAAATTAATGAGTGGAAAAATATTTTTTTGTTAAATTGTAATTACCGTGCTGTGCGCATAAAAGCATTTTGAGTTGCTTTTAATCATCATGTAATATTTTCCTGACTTTTTTGGTATATACTGGAGTATTTAAACCTGTTTTCTTCTGTTGGCCTGCACGTAGGATGACCGGGTGGTGTTTGTGATGAACCGGCTTCACTTTTTGCCTTCTTCTTCAGTGTGACTGAGCTTCTAGAGACTGCTGACTCAGGACCAGAGGAGACTCCCGGAGGATAGATACCAGGAGCAAGGAGGTAGACCCTGAGGAGGAGGAGGAAAAAGAGACAACAGGAGAGGAAACACCAAGAGAAGAGGGCACTTGCAGCTCAGCTCAGAGTCTGCGAGCAATGACGGCCCTCTGGCTTCACTCCGTGTGCCCGGGAAGCCTCCCCCACTTCTACTGACGAAAGCGCAACTCGGCATGTGAAGCCACCGGCAGCGGCAGCAGCGGCAGCAGCAGCGGCGGCGGTGGCGCCCGGGAGCATGGCGCTGCACACGTCGCCCTTCCCCAACGCGTTCCTGCGCGCGGCGCACGCGGCGGCCTGGCTGCTCATCGTGCCGTGCTACTGGCTGTGCGACCGCCTGCTCGCCACGCTCATCTCCGGCACCTGCGAGCGGCGACGGCGGCGCGACGGTGCCGGCGGCGGCGTCGGCGTCGGCGCCGGCGACGACGCGCGCTGCCCGCGCTTCCTCTTCGCCGTCGTGGTGGCGGCGCCTCTCTACCTGGCGCTGCTGGCCGCCTCGCTGCCGCTGGCGCTGCTCGGCTTCGCGGCGTGGGCGCCGCTGCAGCTGGCGCGCCGCGCCTACGCCTACGCCGGCCGCCCGGACCCGGCGCTGTCGGCGGCGGCGGCCCGCGCCCGCCTCGAGTCGCGGCCGCTCGCGTCCGGCCGCAGCTTCGCCTTCGCCACGGCCAACGTGCGCCTCCCGCCCGACTCGCTGGCGCGCGTCGGCAACTTGTCGGACACGCAGTGGCGCGCCCGGGAGATCGGGCGCAGGGTGCGCACGGGCGCCAGCCGCCCGCAGATCAAGATCTACGTCGACTCGCCCACCAACACGTCCATCAGCGCGGCGAGCTGGAGCAGCCTCCTGGTGGTGTCCTCGCAGGGCGGCGGCGCCGACTCGGCCGGCCCCTCGCCCGCCGTCAGCCTGCGGAGGGCCTGCGCGATGGACGGCGGGCCCCGGGGACGCACGGCGGTGGACTCGGCGAGCCCGTCCCCGGCAATCGGGCACCGGGAGCGGGCGGACGCGGAGCGCGACGGCTCGGCGTGCGTCGACCTCTCGGGGATCCAGCTCGTGCTGGCCGAGCCGCCCGCTGGGCCGGAGGCCGACGGCAGGAAGACGGTGACGTACGGCGAGGAGCAGCAGCCGCAGCAGCGGGGAGGCGGAGGAGGAGGAGCGATGACGCAGGATAGCCGCACGTCCTCCAAGGAGTCTCTCTCCCAGCCTCCGCGGTCGCCCGACTGGGCCAGCACGGACGCGAGCGGGTGGCCCACGCGCTTCGTGTACAAGCCCTCGGTGATGAAGAAGAGCTCCATGCGCAGGAAGAAGCCCACAGACGAGCCCTTCGACTACGAGATCTCCTCGTTCTTCCCGGCCAACCTGGACTTCCTGTGCCTCCAGGAGGTGTTCGACAAGCGGGCGGCCGAGAAGCTTCGGACGCAGCTGCAGGCGTACTTCCAGTACGTGCTGTACGACGTCGGCGTGTACGGGTTTCATGGCTGTTCCTTCAAGTTCTTCAACAGTGGCCTCTTCTTCGCCAGCTGCTACCCCATCCTGGACGCCGACTTCAGGTGCTTCCCCAACGCCAAGGGCGCCGATGTTTTCGTGTCCAAGGGAGCTCTCTTCGTGAAGGTGAGACGTGGGGAGGGAGAGGGGAAAAAAAGCAAAATCGGAAGCGTTTTGCGTCGTTGTATTCGGAGGCTTCTGCGGTTGGTTTTGTCATTGAGTTTGGAGAGTAGTATTGGTCACACGCTGGAATTATTTCACTCTCCAGGAAGTGCTCAGCGCCACCATCCGCTCCAGTTTTAATGAAAATTGCTGCCAGATGGAGAGAATGTTTATGCAGCCTCACGATTATTCACGTTGTGGTGGTGTGTACTGCGTTGCCGATTGATTGTTCACCGCGATGAAGTGAGTTTTGTACGACAGTTTTACCCGTTACCTGTTCACTCAATGGGTCTACAGGCAGCAGGCACGATCAAGCTGGTATATATTTATATATCAGGCAAGAGGATGACCAGATTAGACAACTGCAATTAACTAAAGAAACACACGCGTCATTTTGCTTCGACAAACATACTAACCACAATGGCAAAGATGCCTCTGAGTTAGCATTACACTCTGTTGGGACAATTGCTGTTCGAGTGAGTCGCAGCTATTAAAGTGGGCACGTCAGTGGCGTGGGTAACACCAGGAGTGGCCAACGTAGTTTCTCCACGTTACCGAAAAAGTTCACACAACAATGGTCATAGAGTCACAGACACCCACTGTCGACAGTGACCTGGATAGATCAGTGATCGCACCTCCAATATTAGCGTGGTGGTTGGCTACGTACGGTGCGAAAAAAGTTCAACATACAAACAGATGGGACGTACACAGAATAGAATGCAAACTTTTATTGTTTTAAATACACACGTGCATGTATACATATCTCTCTCACTCGGCTGCAGCGACCGCGCGAGGCATGCGTTCCACGACAAGCCACTGTGCGCGCAGTGAACGCAGAAAAAAAAAAATCGAGAGGCGTGGAAACCTTCAAATGTTAAATAAGCCTCATGGTGCATTTGCATCACAGTGTGAAGCAGCGGCGGCGTTTGCAAGTTCATTGAAAATGCACGCGCGCTAAACTAGAGCCGTGACAACGACACGCTTGTAATTAATAGCGTGATGTGTTCACGGCTTTTTTTCGCGAGCCTGTTTATTAACCGCTGATTCATGAAACCAGTTGTGACAGCACGCTGTCAAATATTTTTTGCAATAGCTGCAAATGTATTCGCACACTAAACGTCACATTCCTATCCAAATATTAAGGCAATTGACAAAGTAACCGCAGGCCTGTCGCATTAGGCTTCTGGCTTGTTGTATTCCAGCTGATGTACAATTTCAATAGAGTGTAGATTTCCAAAAAAGAAACCAAACTTCCAACCTGTATTCCCAGGCATCCATACCTAAGACAGAGCACGTGATGAGATGCATCAAAACCTACCGTGGATGAGGGGCAATTGAAGGGACCTCAGAAGTAGTTCTGTGAGTTTCTCTTCCAAAGGTAACAAATGTAACGAGAGTGATGTTCCATCTTAATGGATTTTGGAAGTGAAACACGTTTTAAATTAATTAAATAACCTTTACACTGCTTCCTGGAAAAGTTTCTAATTGCAATTTCTTAAAGTCATAACAAGCAGATGCCAATAGCACAATTGCAATACAATTTTAGATTAAATGCATCTGTGAATGCATTTCGATTTAAAGCTTTCGTGACTGCAGGGATTCATCTTCTTGGTTCTTTCGGTAAAGTCACGTTGTCTTTCCGACAGACCTTGTTCTTCACCTGAGGACGGCTGCTTGCGTTGTGGCCGAAACGTCGTGAGAATTATTTTATTATGTTTTATTTTTATTATTTTATTATTTCCCTTCTATGTGACTTTACCGAAAGAACCAAGAATGTGATTACATTATTCATTTAAAATGTTTACTTCTGGGACCAGCATTTATCTCAGTTGGCAGAGCAGCAGGGTTCCCAACAATGAGATTTTTAGATCACATCCCAGCCGGTGTATCACTGCCCATCATATCTCCAAAGGTGAGTAACATTATAATAATGTCACGTAAAGGGGAAATAATGAAATAATATAAATAAAAAACAATAAAAATTCTCGCGATGTTTCGACTGCAACACAAGCAATCATCATCAGGTGATGAAACGTCGTGAAATTTTTTTTATTTTAGATTTATTTTATTTTATTATTTCCCTTCTACGTGACTTTACCGAAAGAACCAAGATTATGGATCCCTGCAGTCACGAAAGTTTTAAATCAAAATTATAATCATGGTTTAGTCAAGAAAGGCTGGTAAACTCTCATGACTCGTTTTCAGGAGGGCCCTGCCAAGTTGTTCCTAGTCAGCAGCGATGGTTGCTCTATATAATCCCAATTTAGTGATTTCTAGGTGATTTTTCGAATTTGAAACACTCGAACGATGGCTCCGGCCACGGTATGGCCTCTTCTTTTCGCGAATGACATCGCGGGATTCTTCAACGTCCACCGCGAAGAAGACGGCGAGCGTAGCGGTATATTGTTATTACGGTCAGTCCGACCGCAGTATTAACCAGCGCGGCCGCTGGTTTCACACCGCGAACCTCTGCAGCGAGTGGTGAACGCGCCACCGCTGCCGACCCATGGAACTGCCACGTGTGGCAACGGGAGCATTGACTCGCGTTTAGATTATTTGGGTTATTTTGGCTGCTCATACATTTCCACGCGATGAGCCACCTCGTTGGGCCATCGTTTGTGACCACGTCGCGTCTCAAAACTAAGCTCATTGGCTCGGTGGGCTTTACCTGGTAAGATAGAAATAGTTTAGTTTGTAAAATATATTTTTTTAAGTGATTTGCTTACCTTTCCTATGCTTGGCATTCCTATCGTGTTTTTGTCCTGTTTGTTGTTTGTAACATTCTGACCCGCCCCTTACTGGACATCTGTGGAAAAGAAGAGCTTCATAGCTCATCGGATTCCTCCGGCGTAAATAAAGATTGTGATTCTGACTGGGCCGAAACTCAGCCACGCCGGACACGTGAGCAGGCTGCTCCCGGCCATAGACACGTGGAATTATCTCATCACAGATCGACAGATGAGACGATCGCCGCCCGATAACTCCAGCCGAGTGACGTGAGATTATTTTCGACCGACTGAACACACGCACACACAAAAGATCCCCCGTGTAGCCTTAACAGACTGTAGTGGCAAGTGCTGTTAGCGAGCACCTATGAAGGCCGAAACGGTACACGAGGGGGTGGGTGGCCAGCACCACGCCCGACCGCCTTTGTCTCCCTAGTGGCAATGTTTACACACCGCACCAGGTACTCATTTGAGGCTGAGTCGACCTAGGGGAGGCCCGGGACCGGTTCAGATAATTGTCACTGATGTTGGCAGTGAGCGGGAATCGAACCCGTGTCGCCGGGTTCATAGCGCAGCGCGCTAACCGCTGCACTATCGCTCCCCACACGCACACACACACACACGTACACACACACACACGTACACACACACACACCACGTACACACACACACACCACGTACACACACACCACGTACACACACACACACGTACACACACACACACGTACACACACACACACCACGTACACACACACACCACGTACACACACACGTACACACACACACGTACACACACACACACGTACACACACACACACGTACACACACACACACGTACACACACACACACACGTACACACACACACACGTACACACACACACACGTACACACGCACACGTACACACATACGTACACACACACGTACACACACACGCACACACATACGTACACACACACACACCACGTACACACACACACACACGTACACACGCATACGTACACACACGCACACACACACACACGCACACGTACACACACACACGTACACACACACACGTACACACACACGCACACGTACACACACACACGCGCGTACGTACGATCAATCCCCCTGCGCCCGAAGCCTCGTCGACACTCAATCCGCCACAAGCCACGCGTTTACGTTCTCTACTGTAGGTGGATTACAGAAAGGGTCGGCAACGATAATCCGCCCTGATTACATAATCTCTGACCTCTACTTTGATTAGCATTATGTACATAGAGGGGTTGGGGAGGAGGAGGAGCAGCAGATGCGTCGAGTGGAATGATAATTGACGACACTGCACATTAGGATCGACTCCTAGTACAGGACTGATGGGTCAATCGAGATCGTGTCCAAGCTCAAGATAAACAAGCGCGAGATTACTGGCCGTCAAGCCAAGCGTTTTGTCCCATTTGACGTGTCCACGCAACGTGCATGCGCGCGTTCAACACTCGCACCTCCGATTAGCGCGGTTTGCTGCGTACGGTGCGAAAGAAGTTCTACATACACACATTGTACATTGTACTCGTAACTACCAATGCACTAAGGCCACACACTGTCAGAGTTCGCCCCTTGCTGACGGGGTGTGGTTGTCATCGTCGGATACCTGTCAATCCCTTATCGGTGCCCTTACCTTATTACAAACCAATTCAGACCGTATTGGTCACCCCGTGCCCTTATAAATCTCAGCGTTCATCCTACAAAGTCCCATCGCGAGCGAGAAACACAAACAAATAGACACAAAACAATGTTTTTGTCCGTATTGAAACGGCTTGTAACACCGTATGGACCTGACGATTCGATTTACCTGTTACAAGAATACCGGGGTAAACCGCGTGGTGGGTTGACACGGTATGTCCCACCAGGACTGGCGAGGCTCCGATACCCGCGCTCGCAAAAAGAAAACGTCAGACAAATGATCCACTCGGGAGAGATTTGGCTAGGCCAGAGGTCTCGTTGTTCATTGACCGACAGTGGTTATTGTAGCTGCAACACACTCGGATCAACGCCGCCGCCGCCGCCGCTGCTGCTTCTCATCGTAGGGGAGGCACTGGATCTTTGCTGGCCCTCGCCTATGAGGTTGACCTCAGTGTAATGTCTCCATCTGCATGAAGGAATCCACCCCAGCGCGTAGCACTGAGTTAAGTTGACTGGTAAGTCATTGGAACCTCATTTGCCAGTTAAAAAATTATAATAGTTTTTTTACCCTTCTATCTGGCAACAAAACTGACACCTTTTTTACCATCACCATCACCACCACCATCAGTGCATACAGAGTTATGTTTTTTGTTTGCATTATGACTGCAGGTATTGTGGTCTATGCAAACATGACTCCTTGTAAAAAAGGTGTCAGTTTTGTTGCCAGATAGAAGGGTAAAAAACCAATGATTCACTGGTAAGTGTTCACTCGATTGCACATTGCGTAATGGTCTACCTGGTGCGCTTCTGCGGCCGTCTGGAAAGCTCTTCCTTCCGACTTTAGGGAGCCACTGGGAGCGATGCACTTTTAAATCTGGATTGAAAACTCATTTTTGTTTTACTGTTTAGTTTGTTTGTTGTCCGTACGGTGCAAAAGAAATTCAACATACATACATATCCATAATAAAGCTTTTTCTGGGTTAGATCGCGAAAATATATAAATGTGTCGTTAAAACCCGCCACCACCCGACACAGCCAACTAGTGAGGGTTGTCACGTAAACAGAACGTGCCAATTCGTCACTAGTACAGCACACTGGTGTGTTGGGGAGCCAAGCCACAACATTTACAATCTGAGTACGACATACATATATACATACATGTTACAAACAAGCCTGACTCTGCTGATGGAACACTGTATGTTGAAAACCGCTCCAGAGTTTGATTCTATTTCACCAATGAAATGTTTTTTTGTATGTCACCAATGAAATGTTGCACTCCTAGACGGCCTTGTGGGGGACAGGAAGGGCATGAAGAAGATATGTTGTCTGCTTAATTAATTCTTACAATTAGCAACAGCAATGCTAATGATTAGAATTTGTATGTTAAATTTCTACCACACCTTGCAAAGCTTCTGAACGAAAGAGGTCTTACTGTTTTTCTGTTTACAATGCTTTGTACAAATGCCCTCTTTGCTCCGCTGTGCTAATAGAAGGCTGGGCGAGACAGCCTGAGCATGAACTTCGGGTGCTGGCAATGGTGATGATTGTTATAGTCGATGGTATAGGTGGTAGTGATGATGGTTGTGGTGACAATGGTGGTAGTGATGATGGTTGTGGTGACAATGGTGGTAGTGAAGATGGTTGTGGTGACAATGGTGGTGGTGGTGGTTGGTGAGGTGGGGAGCAATAGTGCAGCGGTTAGCGCGCTGCGCTACGAGCCCGGCAACATTTCCCGCTCACGGCCACCACCAGTGAGGATTATTTGAACCGGTACTGGGCCTGACCTAAGTCCACTCAGCCTCAAATGAGTACCTGGTGCGGTGAGTAAAAATCGCCACTAGGGAGACAAAGGCGGCCAGGCTTGGTGCTGGCCACCTACCCCCTCGTTTGCCGTGCTGGCCTTTATAAGTGCTTGCTAACAGCACTTGCCCCAGCAGTATGTTTAGGCTATACGGGGGATCTTTGTATTTTGGTGGTTCGTGACTGGTGGTGGTGACGATGGTGGTGGTGGTGATGGTGGTAATGGGGATGGTGGTGGTGATGGTGGTGATGATGGTGGTGGTGATGGTGGTGATGGTGATGATGGTGATGATGGTGACCGTGGTGGTGATGGTGGTGGTGGTGGTGACAGTGATGGTGGTGATGGTGATGATGGTGGTGATGATGGTGATGGTGTGGTGATGGTGTTGGTGATGGTGTTGGTGGTGGTGATGATGGTGATGGTGATGATGATGGTGGTGATGATGATGGTGGTGATGATGGTGATGGTGGTGGTGATGATGGTGGTGACAGTGATGGTGGTGGTGACAGTGATGGTGACAGTGGTGGTGATGGTGATGATGGTGGTAGTGATGATGGTGGTGGTGACAGTGATGGTGGTGGTGACGGTGGTGGTGGTGACAGTGATGGTGGTGGTGGTGACAGTGATGGTGGTGGTGACAGTGATGGTGGTGGTGACGGTGGTGGTGGTGACAGTGGTGGTGATGGTGGTGGTGACAGTGGTAGTGATGGTGGTGGTGGTGCGCGTGCAGGTTCAGGTTGGGACCACTCCTCAGGAGCGCCGGCTCGTGGGGTTCGTCTCGTGCACGCACACGCAGGCGACCGAAGGTTCGTGTGGCGCGCAACGCGGCACGTGGCACCAACACTCACGACGACACTCGCACTGATGCTCACGCGAACACTAAGCACCCTGACCTCAACGCTTACCCTTACACTAACCCATACTCTTAACACTCACGCTTATCCCTCACGCTTTCGCTAACCCTAACACTCGCCCTAGCGCTAACTCTAACACTTCTTCATCGAGCGTAAGTCAAGTACGTGCACATTATACGTCCGGGTTTAAGTCTGTGAGCCATGTGGCGATAGCTTCAGGAGCAGAGTGGGTCCTGCACTCTGAGTGCATCAGCTCAACGTGGAAGGCCTCTCGCGTGCCAAGTGTGGCGTGCTCGCCACGTGTTTACATCGAGGAAACGTCCACGTCGTTGCACTCCAGGAAAACCCATTCCCCAAGACAGCAGACTCGCAAACTATGTGGCATCTAACCCGGCAGTGCACCCGGATGAACGTTTTGGAAGCGACAAAGTACGATGAACGGTTTATGTAAAACGTTTGTTATTTATTTGCTATTTTAATTTTTTACATTTCAAAACCCTTCTATGGTGCACAACAGCTGCTGTCTAAACATTTTGGGGGGGGGTGGAGGGGGGGGGGAGCGGGCGACTGCACTACCGCTCTGAGAAGGACTCCGCAGAGTTCATTCACAAGTGTGTGGTCTTGTGGCCAGTGTAGCTGCCACCGATTATTGTTTTTCATTGAGGAAGTGCGTGGGCCCGTTGCGTTGTGTTGTGACGCGCGTACACACCGTCAACATAAACTAAACCGGTTATAAAAAGCGGTGGATAGAAATATGGGGAGCTGCCCCAAACCAGGCGGGACACTACCGAAAGGGGTAAGGGTAGCTTTTCTTACTTTAAGGGAGACGGAATGACAAGGGGAGGGAGGGAGGGATATAACCAAAACGCGCCCGAAATAAAGAAAGGAAAAACACAAGAGGCGACCTGGACGAACATGCTGGTGCCACCTATGAATTTAACAACATTTATACAAATATCCTGGCACAATAGGTGTTCTGAGAAAGGAATGTCAAAGCACGCAAGATAAACAAAAATATATAAACTTTTTATTTTACTAGGTAAGGCCCACTGAACTATTTAGCTCTTTTTCAGAACCAACCTGGCCACAGTTGACAGCTCAACATAGTGGCTTATCACGTGGAAATGTATGCCAGCCAAATACTTTAAACGCACGTTTATAAATGTGGAGGGAAAAACGGGAGGACCTGGATAAAAAAAAATCCACGCGACCACGGGGAGAACATGCAAACTCCAAACATACAGCAGGCGTCAGGGTCGCCTGTATATTTGAAGAGACTCCGTCCGAGAAAGGTCCTGTCCTTACCGGTGTAGAGGTGGAAAGCCACTTTGGTGGAGCAGAGGGCAGTGCCACAAACTGAATATGACCGAAAAATCTGAACTCTACGTGAAGATCGCTGGTCTCCGATGACAGCGAAACGTCGTTCAAAAATTAAAGTGTCCACGATTTGAATTCAACCGTTGCCTCACTTCAATGTAGCCCGGTGGGCCCGCGGCCATCTATAATTTCAAATGTGAACATGAACGGCATGTATTTTTAAACGCGTAACCATTACGTGCAGTGCAGTGTCTGTGTTCAACCTGATTCATGTCCCGGGTCCAATAGAATGCTGATGAGCATCATCATTTACTTAGGTTCGCACGGCGGAATGGGAAGCTGCGATTAATGTTTGCGTTCGACGCGAGGAAACTTGGCATTCGAGAGATGCAAGGACATAATTTTCGTCCTTGGGTCACGAAGGCCATCTATTACCTTTGTCCCCGCGTGCCGAAGATGCACGTCTCTCCATCTGTTGTGTCATTGCGAAACCCAATGTCATCAAATTCCACGTTGCCATAACAGCCAGGCGGCTTGAGCTGCATCGTGAATGAAATAACGCAAAAAAACGCGTAACGTAAAATTCATTCCGAGCAAATATTAACATTGTAGCACAACAATAACATTCCACTATAAATTAACTCATGCCCTGCGTGTATATATCATAGACAGCATCTAACATTTAGCAAATAACCCTCAACTCATTCATCATGAAATTAATAGCATAACAACGTTCTCGTCGTTATAAGGTCAAGGCTTGGTTCCAGCTCCACGGATGGGGGGGGGGGGACAGCAGACCCGCTGTGGGGGGCGGGGGGGGGCGAGGGCCACCGTAACGGTGACGCGCCGCTAAGAAAGAGTGAACTTGGGTGGTGGCCCAAAAGGGACATTGGATGCTACGGGGCCCACAAGCGCCCCAAGGCACCGGCCCTGGTACGATCACGCAGAACCTCCCTGCATCTCAGCGTTGCCCTTGCCTGTACGTACGTATGTACATATGCTAAACTTCTTTCGCACCCTACGTAGCCAACCATGCGAACCAGGGGTGCGGGAAATCCAGCACGACGGAGGGCTGGTGGATCGCAACAAATGTTGTGAAACTCGCTTCCCTGATGCGTCGAAGAGGTGCCATACTCTGGCTTGCCAGGAGAAGGCAGTACTGCAAGTGGTCTAATCGTCATCTGTTTCCATCTGTACGGGATAGAACGTTGCCCCTGGTTAAGCAAACGACGGATGAACCGCACCGAGTTGACTTCCCCGTTTGTTATTCCCACAAATTGAGCGTCCCCTCGGCTATCGACCGGGCTGTGGGCGGGCGACACTAAATCAAAGGACGCCCACACACCTTAATCCCCACCAAGGCAAATGATGACATCAGCCCAGCCTGGTGAGCATGAGAGTGCACTGCAGCCGCCTCGAATTCAAATGCACCCACAGATGTGCGCGGTGGCAGTGGCGTAGCTTTGGTTGGCATGGGCCCTGGTACTGGGAATTATTCAATGGGGCCTCATGTCTCATTTGACCACCCACCCCTTCGTAACCCGGCGTCTATGCTGTTCGTGCTCGTTGATTGTTATGCCACTCCATGGCCGGGGTGATTGGGCCGCTCAGGGGTCTCGTGCTATCGTCAGAGCACTGAGCTTGCCCCACCGAGATCATGGGTTACAAATCTGTGTTTCAGCATCTTGTGATTAAACCGGCTCAGCGAGTTGATGCTTTCAGCCCTGTTACTCGTGATTGCACAAAAAGGACCATGAAATGTAACGCCCTTTTCACTGTTCCAGGTCTGGGCATTAAATATTTCAGTTTGATGTGGACAGAAGGAACACGCGTTGATTGCAGGGGCGTCGAGAAGGGCGGTGGCCCACGCGTAATTCTGTGCCACGAGTGAGTGCGCCGCTCACTACGAGAAATCCGAATCGAAATGATTCATCTCGTGGCCTGATTCCGATAACACAATTGGAAGAAGGTGGCAAAGCTGAACGCAGATTCACCGCCCATCTTCGCAATTCTGATGTGCAGTGCGAGTTAATGGCACGCGAGATGCAATGACGCGTGAAGTACGAGGTGCGTTATTACACCGCACAAGTGTGAGAGATGGCGGTGGTTAGGAGAGGCCTTCGCCCAGCAATGGCGATGACAATGATGACGACGAGGGTAACGGTGCATGCGAATATACGCATTTGGTGAAAAATGGAACGGTAGCTCTACGTGCGTGGGGCGACACGTCGCGCCATGTACGATGCACGCAGCGCGACGCCGTGCGTCTGTGGCGTGCAGTCCAGGGCACGCGCGGAATGTCCATTGCTTGCGAGAGACGGTATTCGATGTCGTGGTGGTGCCGCCGTGCGTCCATCGTGTGCGTGACGCCGTGTCCGTGCGGCGGCCAGCAGGCCACGCGTCGGTGCGGTGCGAGCAGCTGGACCTGCTGGTGCAGTGGCAGGCCGAGTTCCGCAAGGAGTGCAGCGGCGAGGCGGCGGGCAGCCCCGCCAGCCGCGACATCGTCCTCTTCGACGTCATGTGCGGCGACCTCAACTTCGACAACTGTTCCATGGGTGAGTGAGCGAGCGCGCTGCTAACGACGCGATCGAGAGGCGGACCAAACACATGAGAGGTCAGTCGGTGCGACGGGGGAGGAAGGATGAGCGGTCTGCGGGTGGAGCAATGCTCGGTGATCAAATGCTCGCCCCGCTCCCGAAGATTACCGACTGACCGACCGGCCACCGCTGGGATAGATCGCAGGTGTCCTCGTGCCACGCCTGCTGAGCTAGGAGGTTTTTTCAATAGGTACGGAATGTAGGTTGTGTCACTAATCAAAGCGGCATGGTGAAGTATGGTCAAACAAAGCTCCATAGCAATCGTGGACTGGGGGGGCGGGGCGGGGGGGGGGGACCGGGTGAGGCTTCATCCAGCCAATGGGGCCGATTGGGCTGATGGGGCATTAAGGAGAAACATCTTCTTCTAAATCCCGACCTGCTCATTGTAACAAAAGAAACCTCAACATACTCGTCAATAGCACTGTGGCCTTAAAAAGGAAAAATCTAATCGGTGGTGTTTCGGGGAATCGCCCCTTTCTTTTTCCCCTTCAAAGTCCACAGTGTTGCTATTGACGAGAGTGTGTTTGTTTGTTGGTTGTGCTTGGGCACCGCTGCCAACGCAGCAGTACCACCAAATATTTTTGCTCTCGATAAAGATTATAAAATACATTCACTCCCACCACTCCCCAACTGCTTCTCCCACCGCCACGTCTCCCACCACCAGTGTGTTCACCCTCTGTCCGGCCGCTGTGTCCGAGTCAGAAGCGTGTTTCATTATAATCCAGTGGTTTTAAAGCATGGGGGGGGGGGATATTTACTCCGAAAGGGGCACAACATTTTATCTGTGACACACAACTTGATTTGCTCTGCTTTGTACTATTAACACAGATGGAAATTTTTACAATTTTGTGTCTTGCAGTTTTAAGTGATTGAGTTGAGGCAGTCAGCCATTAAATGGGCTTGTCTCTCACGTGAGGGTTCTGCTCAGCAAGCCGGGGCCAGGAGAGTGAGAAAGGGTACGGGAGAGGAACTTAACATTTTTTTTATTTTACGAGGTAAGGCCCAATGAGCTATACAGCTCTTTTTCAGAAGCAACCTGGCCACAACTGATAGCTCAACGAAGTGGCTCATCATCACTTGGGGATTTATAGAAGCAGTCAAATGCTCTAAACGCGTGACGTTGATTCTAAACGTGGAGGAAAAAAACGGAGAACCCGGAGAAAAATCCACACGACCACGGAGAGAACATGCAAACTCAAAATATACAAGTGCCAGGGTCAGGATCGAACCCACGACTTCCTGCAGACCAGGCAATGTAGTAAACATCTCGCCACCGCGGCACCCCAAAGATCGTTGGAAGGTCAGAATAAATTGGACGAGCAAGGCGTGGAAAGCGGTGATAACGTTTTGCATCGTGCCCACGACAAACCCTGAATGCTCCCGATGTAACAAGATCACGGACGCTAAGTTGGTGTGAGCCTGATTGGTACTTATATTGGAGCCGAGCTGGAAATGGCAGTCATTAGAAGCTTGGGTTGCTAAAGGACTGCTGGGAGATGGTATTATAGCAAGTGGATCCTTGATTCCATCTGTGTGGCGCTTTGAGCATAATCCTGCCCCCCCCACTCCCCCTACTTCAATTACTTTTTTTCCAGGTACAGTACTCTGGTTTCCTTCCAAGGTGCCAAACACTCATTAAAGCAATATGCCAAACATCATAATGCACGACCCTCCTAAAAGATGGCTTTTAGACTCGGCAAGGCTTTCTCCTGGGCAAAGAGAGGATTTTCACGTACAATATTGTATGTACTCGGACGTGTTCAGTTCACACATTCACATTGACATATCAAGGTTCCTATCAACATTCCTTTCTTAAGCCGCTCCTTCTCTTTGTCCCAGAAACGATTCAAGTTTCAGCAAAACATCATCCGTCATCGTGATGACGAGACGTGCGAAGATGCACCGCGCTCCGCGCTAGTAGGACGCGCGGTGTTTTTGAAAGGTTACCCAAAAAAAAACAAAGTGTGTCGCTCGCTCGTTATTAAGTGAGAAAAACCGCACGGCGCGGCGAGGCGAATCCCGCGGCACCTGTCACACGCCGTGGTCATTTTCATAATGCTTCACAAAAGCTCCGGCCACGTGGGAAATCGTGGCATCGTGAGCCGCTCGTTGAATTTGAATTTGCCTCGGAACTGCGAAGGTGCACGTGTGTGTCTACAGCGGTTAGCGCGCTGCGCTACGAACCCAGAGACCCGTGTTCGATTCCCGCTCACGGCCAACATGAGTGACGATTATCATAACCGGTCCCGGGCGTCCCCTAGGTCGACTCAACCTAAAATGAGTACCTAGTGCGATGTGTAAACATCGCCGCTAGGGAGACAAAGGCGGCCGGGCGTGGTGTTGGCCACCCACCCCCTCGTGTGCCGTGCCGGCCTTCATAGGTGCTCGCTAACAGCACTTGCCCCTACAGTCTCTTAAGGCTATACGGGGGATCTTTGTTGTCTGCGTGTGCGCTGCGCTACGAACCCGGAGACCCGAGTTCGATTCCCACTCACGGCCAACACCATCAGTGACGATTGTCTGAACCGTTCCTAGGCCTCCCCTAGGTCGACTCAGCCTAAAATGAGTACCTCGTGCTATGTGTAAACATCGCCACTGGGGAGACAAAGGCGGCCGAGCGTGGTGTTGGCCACCCACCCCCTCGTGTGCTCGCTAACAGCACTCGCCCCAACAGTCTGTTACAGGCTATACGGGGGATCTTTATCATTGTGTAACGGGGTGTGGAGAGTGGTGGCACAGTGCTTGGCTTACTGTGCTACAAACTCAGTGACCCTAATTACATTTCCGCTCATTTATTTCAGCAGAGAGGGCCCAATAAGCTGTGAGGCTCTACTTCATGGGTGTCCTGCGATGGTTCAGGTCTTAGTTACAGTCACGGTTGCATAGGTCAGTGACAAATAACCTGTCCTGGGCCTCCTCTCGGTCCACTCAGTCGTATGGGTACCCGACGCGGTGTGTAAACATCAGCACTGGCAAGGCAAATGCAGCTGGGCATGCTCATTACAGCCCACAACAGCAGCGCACGTGGGAAGAGAGGGGAGACTTTTGTTGCCCTCTTGTATTTTTCCTGTTATCGGATTAGTCGAGTAATCAAACCCAGCAGCGGAATCAATAATCGCGAGAGTAATCGATTGCTCGGATAATCGGGTAGCCCAGCCGAACTTCATTTCCAAGTGGCTTGTGGCCACAAGACGACTCCCGCTTTGAGAGACGCTGCGAACAACATTTACCTGCCACTGCTTGGCGTCTTAGCTGCACCAATTGGGTACGAGAGCGAAATATGCTAAACATGGCAACGTTTTCTAATTTTCGATTTAAAGCTTTCGTGACTGCAGGGATTCATCTTCTTGGTTCTTTCGGTAAAGTCACGTAGAAGGGAAGTAATAAAATAATAAAAATAAAACATAATAAAATAAAATAATTCTCACGACGTTTCGGCTACAACGCAAGCAGCCGAATCGTCGTGAGAATTATTTTATTTTATTATGTTTTATTTTTATTATTTTATTACTTCCCTTCTACGTGACTTTACCGAAAGAACCAAGAAGATGAACGTTTTCTAAGTTTGGCGCGCGAACTCACATTTGTTACTGCGGCGTGCGAGCGTTCACGCGTGGTTATCCTGTAAAAGGGATTTGAAACTTTATTGTTTTTATTTTCATTCGGACCTCAGTAAGGAAACGGTTTCACGCCGCTGGTCTATGCGTCGTGCGAGCTGGACAAGCGTGGGGTCGGCTGCGTCAGGTGACGGAGAGAATTAAAGTTGCATTTCCATCCATTGCCAGGTTTGCAATTCATTAGTTTTTTTTTATTTCGTGAGAATAACTGACATTTATCCCAATTAAATTTACTTGATGCATTGACATGCTGGATATAAAATGTATATGTACTTTCAGTGCCGGATACTCGTAGTAGCAAAAGTAACCACAGCCACTTTTTTCAAAAAAATTCTTGCTGTGGTTTTCACACCTGATGATGATTGCTTGTGTTGCAATCGAAACGTCGTGAGGATTTTATTGTTTTATTTTTTATTATTTTATTATTTCCCTTTTACGTGACTTTACCGAAAGAACCAAGAATATGAATCCCTGCAGTCACGAAAGCTTTAAATCGAAACTACACCACTGTTTGTAAGGATGATGGCCCGAATTCAACGCTTGATCGGGATTTTAAATCACAACCTTCTCATTGAGAGTCGAGTGCTCTAACCACAGAGCTCTATGACTATAACATAGCATTACACGAATTAAGCATCTCTGTACCACAGGACCCACTGCTAGCCCAAATGCTGCCGAATCTGGATAAGTTACGGTTTCAATGTGATATGGTCATAATATATTCAACGTGAAATAATTGTGCATTGCGACCCATTTACATTCGAGGGGTAATTCAAGGAGCAATTGTTGTTCTGGCATAATTACAAACCCAGAATTTCAGCTGTGCTGTCTCGGTGCTCAGACATGGCCATCACGAGCCACCTATGGAAGCAAAATATCAAAACCCATGAGCTGGTGGAGTCGATGCATTTGGCCCGCCAGGCCTGTGACTGTAATTCTCTCTTTAATGCGCACTCTGAAGGGATGAGCTGTTTTTATATTTAATAGAGCTGTCAGCTCGAATGCTTTTCAGCCCAAGAGAGCCCCCCAACCCACCACAGCGGCTTTGGCGCGGGCCAGACCAAGAATAAATGTATGCAGGATTTTACACGGAAAGCTGATTATGCGCGAACCAGACAATTTTTGCCGGTCCTTCCCCCTTTTGTCGACGCTTGCCATCGACTCCGCGTCACGGCGGACTGTACGAGGACTAGCGGTCACGCTCGTCCGCGCCAATCCGTCGCAGCGTTTGCGGAGTGGGCAGAATTCGATTTAAAAAATATTAAATTCGATACAGTGACGTGTCCAATCCCAAACGCGGCCCCTGCCTGGGTGGGACAGTGATCCCAACTTTTCCCCCACCTTTCTTTTTTTTGTATTCAGGAGCATAGCTTTTGGAATCTTTGTCCGTCGAGTTTCTGTGCTCCTCTTTGTGCCGTCGCGGTTTATGCTCCGTGCCGGGCTCTCGTTGAAGTACAATAAAAACAATAAAAACATGAAACCACAATAATATCGATACCGTGCAATGGGGGCAGTCGAATCTTCTCAACTACATTCGTCGCAACACCCCACGATGCAGCAGTTGCAGTGTGCGGTGGCTTAATCTGCATTGCGGTTATACATTATGGGTGATTGCGGAAAGGCAGACTGCGGGTGGTCGAGGGGACCGATGCAGAAATGAAGAAACACTGGATTATGACACGACTCTGAGAGAGCGATCCGTGGGTTGAATTACATGCAACGTGGGATTGGTGTTGTGTCTAAATACTGCACAGTACCTGTATTCGGGGAGGTTATGATGATGGGTCCATGAATTGAGCCGTGACGCATTTTTAAACGGTCAACGATTGGTTTTTCCCTGCACTTTGCCAAATAAACAAAAAAGTTACGATCTATTTCGCCAGTCTACAGTGGTCAATAATTCAGTTCCCATTGCTCCAATGAGCATCAACAGCAGTGACATCCATATTTTACTCTTGAGCCAATGGTGGAATTCCGATAGAGTATTCCTCTCGTGAGGCCCAGTCTCGTTATAGCGGCTCTCTCACGACGACGACAACAACGCACCGAGTGGCAGGTGGTGCTCGCATTGCTGATGAGTAAACGCACGTGGCGGTGATGACGACGCTGACAAAAATCGATAACTGATGATGAAGGTGATTATGATGATGGCGGTGATGATGATGCTGACAACATCAATGATGATGGCGGTGGTTATGAAGGTTATGTTTGACGATGATGATGACACGGACCTTGTAAAGTCATATCATCACCACCACCATTTTCACTATCATGATCAGCATTTTAGTATCATCATCATCAATGATCATCACCACTTTTACAATCATCAGCAATGTCCTCAATGTCACCACCTACCTCAGCATTGTTATCATCGATGATGATTTTATCAAAATCATGATGATTTTATCAAAATCATTATTGCCGTCGTCATCATCATCATCCTCCTCCTTGTTTGATGTTCAACAGAGGACAAGTTGGAGCAGCACCACCCGCTCTTCACGCACTACCGCGACCCGTGCCGGCAGGGCCCCGGCGAGGAGAAGACGTGGGCAGTCGGTGAGCAGAGATCTGTGTAAATGCAGGCAACACTTAAATTAGAAACCATTTTTTTTTATTTTACCAGATAGGGCCCACGTTACCTGTATAAAAGACACCTGGGAGCCAGAAATCTTTCTGATTGAGAGGGGGTCAAATACTTATTTCCTTCATTAAAATGCAAATCAATTTATAAAATTTTTGACATGTGTTTTTCTGGATTTTGTTGTTGTTATTCTGTCTCTCACTGTTCAAATAAACCTACCATTAAAATGATAGACTGATCATTTCTTTGTCAGTGGGCAAACGTACAAAATCAGCAGGGGATCAAATACTTTTTTCCCTCACTGTACATAGCTCTTTTTTCAGAAGCGTCCTGGTATCACAAATGATGGCTCAACGAAGTGGCTTATAATCGCGCGGACATTTATAGTAGCAGCCACATACTCGAAACAGCGTGATGTTGATTCTAAATGTGGAGGGGAAAACCTGGAGAACCCGGAGAAAAATCCACGCGATCACGGGGAGAGAGACACCGCAAACTCCAAATATATCGAGGTCGAGATCGAACCCACGACCTCCTGCATACCAGGCGAGGCAGTTAACATCTCGCCACCGCGAGATGGACAGTCATACAGAGAGTTAGTCAATCCACTGCTGGATGAGGGTCTCCCCATACAGCGTGGATCGTAAGGGGTAACCACACAAAGACCCCCCCCCCCCACCGTGTAGCCTTAACAGACTGCTGGGGCAAGTGCTGTTAGCGAGCGCCTATCAAGGCTGGCATGGCACACGAGGGGATCTGTGGCCAGCACCACGCCTGGCCGCCTTTGTCTCCCCAGTAGCGATATTTACTAAACACTGCACCAGGTACTATTTTAATCAGAGCCGACCTAGAGGTGGCCCAGCATCGGTTCAGATAATCGTCACAGGTGTTGGCCGTGAGCGGATATCGAACTTGGGTGGCCAGTACAACCCACTCACCGCTACGCTACTGCTCCCCACACACACCCACCACCACAATCACACAATCACACACACACACCAGTATATAGTTCACGACTAATGTTAGCCCTGGCTGGGAACCAAACTCAGGTGTGAACAAGTAGGGGGTCATGATGATGATGGTGGTGATGAACTGCTTTTTGTGTTGAGTTTGTTGTCCTTCCCCGCACCTCCGATTAGCACGGTTGGCTACGTACGGTCCAAAAGAAGTTCAACATGCATACGTACAAACCCATTTGTTTAAGTTTCGTTGCAAATTGGCCCTGCTGTGATTTCCACAGGCACCTTGCTGGACCAGGAAGGCTTGTACGACGAAGAGGTCGCATCACCAGAAAACCTGCAGAAGTGAGCATCTTGTTGAATAAACCTGAATTACTATCCAAAGACAAAGGTCCCCCCATATAGCCTTTAACAGACTATCGGGGCAAGTGGTGTTCGCGAGTAGCACCTAAACTAGATTAATATTACAAAGTGTCATGATTGAGTGTGCCTAATCTGATATGTATTGCTTTAACTGCTGTGAAGTTGTATGTATTTAAATTGCATTTCTGATTCTTAAAGCGCTTTTAAAATGATCGTTTTGCTATTCTTTCCGATGCAACTATTTCCAACATTTCAGTATTTTTCCGTGAATTTCAACGTTCATGCAAAGCACCGTCGAGGCGATCATTTCCTTCATGGCGGAACGCAAAATCAAGATCGATCGAGCGATCGATCCTTTGATAACCTACGCGCTCGACACACTCCATAATTCCATTGTCGTCCCACGGCCCGCAGGGTGCTGGAGAACGAGGAAGGCCGCAAGAGCTACCTGGTGTTCCCGTCCAGCAAGAGCCCGCGCTGCGACCAGGGCGGCCGTCCCGTGCCGCTCCGGGGCAGCGGGCGACGTCTCGACTACATGCTGCACACGGAGGAGAGCTCGCTCGAGTGCCGCACGGTACGCTCACTCACTCGCTCCGCTCGCACACTTTCTTGGTCTCTCTCCCTCTCTCGCTTACTTTACTCCCCTCCCTCCGCTCCCCTTGCTCCCTCTCTCGCTCCCTCGCTCGCTCGCTCCATCTCTCCCTCACCTGCTCCCTCCCTCACTTCACTCACTTCGCTCCCTCGCTCACCTCGCATCTTCTCTCCCTCGCTCACTCCACACACTCCTTCCCTCCCTCAGTAACCATCATAATTAGTCCTGATCTATCCACCGCTGGATGAAGGCTACCCCTAGCCATCGCCACCCCCTCCTCCACCACCATCGCTCGCCGTCCCCATGATCCTACGAAGCAATGATCCACCCAGCACCTGAGACGCGTGCCGATGTCATTGCTCCATCTCCGCAGTGGATTATATTGAACCTTGAGTAGGAGTCGCTATCTGACTTTGGACGGTGATTGTGGCGGTAGCGCCCGTGTCAGTGGCTGCTGTAATCATGGTAACACGATGGTGCCGATGTGGTGCGGGAGGTAAGCAGCAGAAACCAGTTGCTGCTGTGGGCAAGAAACAATAACCGCAGAGGCAACAACCACCTTCCTGGATATTCCGCCACTTTCCAGAGAGAAAATTTAAATAAAGCGAATCGAATTACCGGATATAATTAGGAGCCAAGAAAGGCGGTGATTAACGTGGACAGGGCTGTAAATAATGCACCGCGCCGTACGCTCCGTCGATGTGCAAATGGGGCGGATGATAAACGAGTGAGCCCGCTCGGGTGAAGCTTTAATAATTCAGCCACGCACAGCCATCCCCATTGCAGGCCACTTCCTTTGGCGCTGCTGCCCTGCCCCTTTCGGGAACCACACGCGCACGTTCACCCGTTGATTTTTGCCTGCAACGGCGCGAACGAAGCGAACTCGCCCGTTTTTTTTTTGTTATTTCCACTCGTCAGATGTTCCACTTCGATCAAAGGCCAAGATCCTGTGCTCCCCCGCGCTTGCATCACGCGCCACGTGTGTAACCGCGCGTGTTGACGATCGCGCCAGCCACAATGCAACGATTCACGTTGCGTTGTGGTGAACGCAGCCATATATAGTCTACAGACTGTTGGGGCAGGTGCTGTCAGCAAGACACTTAAGGATGGAACGGCGCATGAGGGGGGGGGGGATGGTGTGGCGAGCGCAACGCCCAGACGTCTCTATCACTCCCCCGACCCCATCGCACGAGGTACTAACTTCTAGTCGGCATTATCCTCAGGGAGGTTCAGAACCAGTTCGGATGTCACTCGCCACGAACGTTCGCCGTGGCCGGAAACCAAACTCAGCCTGTGGGGTTTTTATCAGTGCACGAACGAACCGCTCCACCGCTCCCCTTCTCCCCCGGTTGGTCTCCGTGCCAGGAGGTGGAGGAGTACTCGTTCATCACCCAGCTGGCCGGGCTCACCGACCATCTCCCCGTCGCCATGCGTCTCCTCGTGTCCTCTCTGGACGAAGAGCCCTGAACGCTGCCGGACACCGGCAGCTGGGAAACCACCGCCGTTGCCGCCGCCGCTGCCGCCGCCACCATCACCACCAGCGGCTACATCCGCACCGGCTGAACGTTGACGGCCCTGGCCCTCGGAAGCCGGACTCGCCGGCGGTGGAACTCGGGAAGCTCTTTGAGCGGTTCAGCAAGGTGGCTTTGTTGGCACGGCCGCCCCGCGGAGAAGCTGGAACAGCCAGCGGTGCGATGCGGTCGGCGCGGCCTCGAATCGGCGCTCGCTGGAACGCGGCGATTGCAGTGGCGCCAGCTGCACGGCCGCACTGACGATCGGCCGTTGAGAACGCGCGCTGACGGAAGTGCCGACGCTCGGCTTGCCTCGGGGTGAAACGTCGGTCTCGGCGTCGCGGTGAGCGTTTCAAGTTGCCGTGGGGTCGCCGAGATGGTGAAAAGGCTCCGCTCCTCGTTAGCATTCCTCAAATTGACCAACGGGGAGTGACGTTGACATTTGATCAGATGAGAACTGTGGTCCCAGTGGACGCTTTTTAAAAACCTGCCGTTTTAAATGTAATTTACATGTAGGCACTGTGTCTGATCACCCACTTAATGCCTTGAGTCAAACAGAAGTCAGTCAACTGTGTTGTCCTACGATTATATATTATGGCCATTCGCAACGTGTCTGAGGCTGAGACTATTTTAGCATGGGACCTCATTTTAAAATTACACCTTATTACAAATCTTGTCAGTGTTTTGTCCGTGCATTTGAGTGCATAAAACCAGGAATGTCTCCGCACTACACTATTGTTCGCTGGCGGATATCTCCCTCAAGTATCAACAGCATCAAACAGCGCCAGTGGAGGAGATGTGACAAATCCGTGCGAAGCCTGAGACACATTCACAGCTGAAAGTGCAAGGGGTGTCGCGCTCGTGTTTTATCCACGCTACCCTCAACGCGGGCGTGATAAATCTGCCGAGATGCAGACGACCCTCCGTCGGTTGGCCTTCGTTAATTACTTTCAATGCTGACGACGTTATCGTGATAGTAAAGATTTTGCGAACTTTGCAGGAGCATTTTGTAACGAGGAATTGCTGACGACGTTACCAACTGTCGTGCAACTCCGTCAATGTTTGTGATTTTGAAAATGTTGTTTTATTTTGTGAACGGGCATGATTGCAAGTTTGTATTGAAGTTATGACAAGTAGTAAACAATATTTAAAGGGACTACGTGTTTTTAATATTATTGCTCAGCCTCATAGTAGTAGTGGTGGTACTTTTGAGAGAAAAGGGTTTTAGTGAATTCCCAATGTTTTTTAATTCCAAATATCCCAATCACTGCCACCAGCAATCGCTCCTTGGGAGTCAGTTTTTTTACAACTCTTTGCTATATTTGTTTTGTTTTGACACAACTAATTTATTATGATTCAGCCAAACGCATGTACGTATGAGGCATGATCCACTGGCTTTTTGAATTGCGATTTCATTTAGTAATATGCTATTGGAGGGCTTATTCAGAAGGCAATTTGGGCCAGAGCGATGGAGCCTACGGCGTGACAAGGAATGGAAGAGACGAGACTGGGAAACATTCACTTGAGTGGCTTTCCTCAATCGGGTGGTGGCTTCTAAGTGGTGCTCACGAGTGGGAATAAATTGTAGGCTATTGCTGGAATAAACCATCGTTTAAACGAAATGCTTATATACATGTAAACAGTGTTGTGAATGAGTTGTTAAAATTACGGACCTGTAGCTTTAATTTTTTTATTATTATATTTTAGTAACCACTGACGTTTCAACAATGTAATTATTACACTTAATTATTTGTACATTATATTAAAGCAGATATTAAAAGGTTAATTACATTGATGCACATTTTTTTTTTAGTATCTCATTCTTGCACTGTTACATATTTGTGTTGGCACCAACGGTGTATTTTGTACGCTTGGCCGTCTCGTTTGTCACATTGGAGAGAAGTTTTCATGAGGCAGACATCGACTTGACACGCGCAGCAAGTCTCCAGCAATGACGCAATCCTCGATTTTAAAAGGTACTCGTGATGTAAATGTCTTTGACGATCCACTGCTGGATCGAGGCCTCCGCCTTCCCAGGCTGCGTCGGTCATTCGGATCTGTTTGACCATCCTGGTCAGACACGCTGGTCTGTGCGGGTCGGTGGATGTTGCATTCTGGGTGGCTGTCCTTCCCCCGCACCTCCGATTAGCACTCTTGGCTATGTACGGTGCGAAAGAAGTTCAACGTACGTACAATAACGGTGGTGTCCATATTACAGCAAACGCCTCTTTGTGCCACAAAACAAAAAGTACAGAACACATGTCGTTACACGAGGATTGCCTTAAGCAAACCGAGGTGCAACCTCGAAATCATTACGATATAAAACGTTGTCACGTGCACTATATGGCTAACGGCGAGCTGTGTATTTAAGTAAAGCTTGTTTTTTTAACGGCCAGTCAATTTGTTGACGCTCATTGAAAGTTGCAGCCAAAACATTGAAAGCGTGGCAATCGTCGGTTGGTGTGACCTTGTGGAGCTTCGTGCTCTAGATACCTTTTCAACTGTCCTTCGTGTATTGACGCGTGGCTAAGATTCAGTGGCAGAGCGTCGTTCACATGGGACCTTGGTGCAAGGAATTAAATGGCCCCCCCCCCCCTCCTGTCCCCCCACCCTCTTTGAAGCCCATCGCCTCGGCCTCCTGTGGCTTCTGAGCCCCGGGGTAGGGCACCACGGTGGCTAGGAGATGTTAACGACCTCGCCTGGTGTACAGGAGGTCGTGGGTTTGATTCCGACCCTGACGCCTGCTGCTGTATATTTGGAGTCTGCGTGTCTCTCTCTCACCATCATCACGGTGGCTAGGAGATGTTAATGACCTCGCCTGGTATACAGGAGGTCGTGGGTTCGATCCCGATCCCAACGATGCCTACTGTATATTTGGAGTTGGTATGTCTCTCTCTCCCCGTGGTCGCGTGGACTTTTCTCCGCGTCCTCCGGGTTTTCCCTCCACATTTAGAAACGCGCGTTTGGAATATTTGGCTGCTACTATAAATTTCCACACGATAAGCCACTTCGTTGGGCTATCATTTGTGATGGCCAGGTCACTCTTGAAAAAGAAATACGTAGCTCAGTGGGCCTTGCCTGGTAAAATAAATAAAAAGTTTAATAGTTTAGTTTTTGGTCGCACCGCCTACACACTCGAAAGGCACACACTGCCGCTAAGATGATGGATTTTGAACTCATTGACAGTTAAAGCGATGACCCGCAGACCCATTGTACGATGTTTTTTTTTCATGCACGCGATAAGCCTAATGGTTCGCAGTGAAATCGGTCATAACAACAACAAAAACGCAAATCGTCATGAATCTCCGCGCCGAATTACCACTCCTAATTCACGGCCGGAGGAAATGGCCCATCCCTGCAGCTGTTTCCATGGAGTGCTCGCGGTCAATCTCACGCAGCCCATCACCGGAGCCGCAGAACGACAGATCGCGATTATGGGTGTTGGGGGCTGGTGGTGGTGGGACGGGGGGGGGGGCTGGTGGAGGTGGGACGGGGTGGGGGCTGGTGGAGGTGGGACGGGGGGGGGCTGGTGGAGGTGGGACGGGGGGGGGGCTGGTGGTGGTGGGACGGGGGGGGGGCTGGTGGTGGTGGGACGGGGGGGGGGCTGGTGGAGGTGGGACGGGGTGGGGGCTGGTGGAGGTGGGACGGGGGGGGGGCTGGTGGTGGTGGGACGGGGGGGGGCTGGTGGTAGTGGGACGGGGGGGGGGCTGGTGGTGGTGGGACGGGGGGGGGCTGGTGGAGGTGGGACGGGGGGGGGCTGGTGGAGGTGGGACGGGGGGGGGCTGGTGGAGGTGGGACGGGGGGGGGGCTGGTGGTGGTGGGACGGGGGGGGCTGGTGGAGGTGGGACGAGGGGGGGGGGCTGGTGGTGGTGGTGGGATGGGGGGGGGCTGGTGGTGGGGCAGGGAGGGGGGCTGGTGGTGGTGGGACGGGGAGGCTGGTAGTGGTGGGGGGGACGCCAAAACCGTAGTGTCGTTCGCGCTGCCACAATCGATAGAGATGTGTTGGAAGTCCCCAATTCCATGCGGTGACACGAGAATGGGGGAACTAGGATGGGCAGGGGGGGGGGGCTGTAGCCATGGTCGTGTCTCTTCATGCCCGCCCGCCCTAGATTTAATTACCGCGCGGGTTGTAAAATACGAGACCGTGCACGTTCGCATGTAAATCTATACTCGTCACCCAACATTGTCTCCGGTCCTCTCTGTGTGTGTGTGTGCCAACCTTTCATTTTCAACCCTCTGGCTAAACACGACAGAGGTAACCATTGTTCTCAAGAGGGCGTCTCGCATAATGATTTTCACCAGCGCGACCACTGCAGGTGAGGTGGGTGGGCAGGTTGGTGGGTGGGCAGGTGAGGTGGGTGGGCAGGTTGGTGGGTGGACAGGTGAGGTGGGTGGACAGGTGAGGTGGGTGGGCAGGTGAAGTGAGGTGGGTAGGCAGGTTGGTGTGTAGGCAATACAACATAATTTGCGGCCTTTTGACAATTCACTTCTGAAGACCCTCCTCCCCTAGCTGTCGCTCATGGGGTATGTTTGACAGTAACTTGACCGTAACTTGACTGTGCTGATCGTATGTATGTCTGTTTGTTGAACTTCTTTCGCACCGTACGTAGCCAACCGTGCTAATGGGAGGTGCGGGGGGGGGGACAACAACAGTGTGGGTTGGTGGACGAGTCGCCCTGGACTGGTTGAGATACCGTCACCGATGTTAGCTGTGGTCGAGAATCGAGCTCAGGCCACCGGGTTTAATTGCACAGTGGGCTAACCACTGCGCCACCTGGGCAGCGTGTTGACATGTCCAGTGCACATGTAAACACGTGACAGGACAGGTAGGTGGAGACGCAGAGTAGAGACTGGGCGATTCAGCCACACACTCCTCTACGTTCAAGGCTCGTTCAATTGCCCCGACTCTGTTGTGTTGTTGTTATTGTTGTTTTTTACCGTCCGGTTTGCGTTGTTCGTGTCGATTGTCTCATTTATTGTTTTATAAGCAGACAAAATGACATTTAAAGGGGGAGTGGTGGCAGTGGCTAGCGCCAGGTGCTGTTTACCCAACAACCCGAGTTTGAGTCCCAGCCAACATCGGTAACCGCTGCAATCTGAGTCCATCCAGGGCCCTCTCTCCTTCACCAGCCCACACAGACCAGCGAGGTGAAGTATGGTCAAACAAACCCCCCATGATCAACACAGCAGTAGATTGAGAAAGGGCTTAATTTGTGGCGTTAAAAATAACATGTGCGTGTCATTTGCATGCGTCGAAAATAATTGTTACGTGGAACATTCGATGCGTGCATAATGAGATGTCAAGCAGGGAGGGACGGTGCCATCGGACGCGTACGGCCCGTTGTGTAAATCCACTGCTGGATGAGGTCGGCTCCGTCGCCGTGGCTCCTTGCAGGCCGAGGGATAATTTACCATTCTTCACCATATTCTTAGGTTTTTTCGGTAAAGTCATGTAGGTAAAACATTTTTAATTAATAAAAGTAAAATAAAACAAAATAAAAAATCACGACGTTTCGGAAGCAACACAAGCCTCCGTCTTCAGGTGGAACCGTCACAGCCACGACAGCTGTATCAAGTAAATGAGAGATCACAAGAAATACCACCCCGTATATATATAATGGTTGAGGAGGAAGGGCCAGGAACGGCACACCATTATATATACGGGGTGGTATTTCTTGTGATCTCTCATTTACTTGATACAGCTGTCGTGGCTGTGACGGTTCCACCTGAAGACGGAGGCTTGTGTTGCTTCCGAAACGTCGTGAATTTTTATTTTGTTTTATTTTACTTTTATTAATGTAATTTTTTTTACCTACGTGACTTTACCGAAAAAACCTAAGAATATGAATCCTTGCAGTCACGAAAGGTTCAAATCTAGAATTCTTCACCATGCTGGTCAGCGCAGGTTAAAAGGTGGCGTGGGAGTGCAAAACAACAATGGGGGGTTGCTGCGTTAAGCGAAGCGGAGCTCAAGAGACACAAAATATATCTCGTTTGTTTGAAATGGAGGCCAGGGAAATAGGCCGAGTACAAGACACCGAAGCTGCACGAACCTGCGATCACAACACGTGAACGTGTGTAAAGTCGAATTACAATTGTAATATTTCAAAGGAAAAACGTTAACGTTAATTGGCATTAAATTGCAGCGTGCAAGGAAACTAAAGCAGGCTATTAAGGCACAATGGGAAACAATGTTCCTTCAAATGTATTTTAAAAAAAGAACTCGTTACGAAAAATATTAGAACAATGTACATGCCATGAACCAAAAATCATGGACATTTCTTTTTGACGCTGCATTTAGCGATAAGCTTCACAGAGAGGGTAAGGATAATCATTCTAAAGCGTATATGTTGCCGGAGCTTGTAATCCGAGTGTTGGTTATTCCGGTTGGGCCTTGGGTTGAGCAAAATTTCTCCCAGGCTTTTGTCCCGCACCACTTGCGAGCGCCTTCGCGGGTTTAAGAATCACACTGCCAACTTGAACTGATCGCCACGCCCGCAGTAAGTAGTGCGTGGCGGAAGTTTGAGAGAATAAACGCTGAACACGCAGCCCAAATCTGGGAATCGCATACGTACCTTATGCTATGGGAACGTCATTTGACAGTTAAAATATGATAATTGTTTTTTTACCCTTCTATCTGGCAACAAAACTGACACCTTTTTACAAGGAGTCATGTTTGTATAGACCGCAATACCTGCAGGCCTAATACTAAACAAAAGACATAACTCTGATTGGTCCACACCCGAGACGGGTGTGGAGCAATCAACTTCAAGGACAGTGCACATTATCAGAGTCATGTCTTTTGTTTGTATTATGACTGCAGGTATTGCGGTCTATACAAACATGACTCCTTGTAAAAAGGTGTCAGTTTTGTTGCCAGATAGAAGGGTAAAAAAACAATTATCGCATACGTACCTGCCAACCCCTCGTCAGTGCCCTACCTTATTCCAGAGCAATCCTGAACTTACTTTTCACCCCGTGCCGCCTTATATATCTCAACGTGCATCCTACAAAGTCCCATCACAAGGGAGAAACACAAACATAAAAACATTTCCTTGCCCGCGTTGAAACGGCTGCACGCCGTACGGACCTCAAAACAAAATTTCCCTGTTACAAGTATGCTGGTAAAACGTATGGGTTGACAGTTGTGTTCTGTTCATTAGCCATTCATCACCACTCTTGTCCCGGTGCTCTCACGGCCTTTGCACCGACTGCCACACATCCCGGCTAAGAGTGTCAATTGGGGGCCGTTACAAACTTTGGGAAGAGTTGCGACCAATGGGGCGTTTCGCTACGTGTCTCTTAATAGGAATGTCGTTCCTGCAACCACTGCTGTACACTCCGTGTGTATGTGTGTGTGTATATACGTGTTGAGTTGTGCACTCTGATTTTCTCAGCGTACATTGAATGCAAATGTATCTCGTTGCACGGTCCACATTGCTCAGCCACTTTTATCCCCGGCTACTTTGTTTTCCGAGGGCCATAAACAAAACAAAAAAAATTGTTGCTTTTAATTTTTTTTCCCCGACGTTCAAACGCTGTGCTGGCATTATGCCCAAAATGTTCTCAGCAGCAGGTGTTTAAGGCAGTGGGAATTCCAAACACCCACGCCATATACGCGCGTGCCTCACACCTACATTTGCCCGCAGACAGGTGTGCGGCAGGTTTGCACCTCCTCCGAGACTGCAAGGTGGTGCCAGAGTTGCTCTCCTGTCATGTCCGTCGTGCATCCGCGGCGCTTGCACCGAAGGCGTTGTTGTGGAGCGCGAACGACGCCTGCTCCCTAAAAAAAGCCCCCAGCGAACGTGGAGCCAAACGTCAGACATCGCGCCGAACAACAAGCGCCAACAAAAAACCGACCGAAAATGGAGGGCTTTAGTTGCGCCAAACGGAGGAGGCCTTGCCGAGTAGGTCTGGCGTGAGAACGCAGAGTCTACGCTGCCGAGAACCTGGGTTTAATCCCAAGTCTCAGCGGCCCGTGATTTATCCAGGCTCTCTAGTATCACGTGTGAGCCAATAATTGCACACAAAAACGCCAAGTTAAATGTAGCTTTTTAAAATGTAATTTAAAAAAAATCCGGCTCTCAGAATTTAAACAAATTATGGGTTAAGCTGCCATCTGATGAACATTTCTCTCCAGGGAGACAAGCGTGAAAGTGCACCCCCCCCCCCTAGTTTGTGGATTTTAAAAAAGGTCAATTGAAGAGATCTCAGACGTAGTTCTTTCACAGACCATTCTCTCACACTTTGGGGTATGCACTGCTCTGCGCGGGCTCCGAATGGGAACTTTGTCTCATTAAATAATACAAATAGGATAAAACTGAGAAGTCAGTGGGATTATCGGCCAATAATAATAAGCCATCTCCCTCGTGATTCGATTATGAGCATTCATGGTTTTTAGCGATTAAATATAGTTTTTTTTGC